TGTCGGGTCCCGGTCCGAGTGGCTCCAGGTCGGGTGCCGGTCCGAGGGACGTACAATGTCCCAGTACGAGCCAGTGTGAGCGGACGCACACGGAGGGGACATCCCGGCAGTATCACTGGGCCGCGCAGGCGCAGACGCCCTGTGACCCGGCGGGATCCGCCCCGCACGGCGTGACGTCATTACACTGGCGTGCGCGGGTGACGTCATCACGGCAGCGCACGCGCAGTACATGCCTTCAGCCTATTTAAAGCCCCACAGGGCTTTAGATCATTGCTGTGTGATTTTCAGCCAGCACCAGTCGTCTGTTGATCTTGCTCCTGTTTGATACCTGTGACCTGGCTTCCTCCCTGACTACTCTCCTGGATTACCCTTGTGTACCTTGTTGCCTGCCTTCTACTGACCCGGCTTGCCTCTTGACTCTCCATTGGATTCCGCCTTGTACTTCGCTGCCCGCCTGTTACCAACCCGGCTTGTCTGACCTCTCTATTTGCCTTCTAGGATCCTGCACGGCTGCCTATCCTGCCTGCACACTACCTGTTGCTGACACCTGGTATCCTGATCCGGCACCCGTGCACCCCCTGCCTGACACACACTGTCTCCAACCCAGTGCTCATCAGACAGGGTTGCAAGGGAGGTCCTCCTCATCATCTCGGGCCCACACCGCGGACCTAACAAAGAGACAAAATTGCTCTTGTACAAAGTATAAGCAACACTTCATCTTGAAGATGCAGTTCAATTTGGGGAATCAGCTTACAAAAAGGAACTGTAGAGAGTGTAGAGAAGGGCCAACAAACTAATAAGGAGTATGGAGAACCTCAGGAAAGATTAGTTGAACCGCATTAAAAGATCATTAAACCCTCGCGTATTTTTGCATCTATCTAATGTTAGCAAGCAAGCAATCTCGGGAGCCAGGCAGCCCACGCTCCTTGAAAATTACAGGTGGCACCTACCTTTTGAGGTTACCTCTAGTTGTTGTAAATGGAGCTGGCTTCGAAGAAAAATCCTGCTGGCTCGTGGATTGGACAGACTGTTTTTTAGGTTCTAAATCAAATTGCACATCCTTGCCTTAGGTAGGGGATCAGAAAAAAAATCCCATGTGGGTTGAGGGTTCTGTATATGAAGGTTTTCATCTGTTTTTCTCTATTGGTTGGACTCGATGAACTTGTGCCTTCAATAAAACTTACTGAGTAACTATGTATAATGAATTTCAGTGGATCAACACACAAAAAACAGATGCATAACAGAAACCAAACAACTGCATGTCAGAAGCACAACACAATAATAAAAATGATCCCTTACACTAGAAATACAAATTACAGGGAAGAATGGGAGAAAGTAATGACTTCCTGTTTAGGTAAGAAATTCTGTTCTTTGTGTCAGTCAATTCACTAGTTAGCAATGTGCCAGCGCATAATAGGATCTGTATGGCTTCTAAACTTGCCAATCAATGAGCCGCCCGTCACTCATTGATTGGCAAGTTTAGAAGCCTAGTTAAAATCTATATATTGGACAAACTCAGTACTGTTTAATAAACTAAATGAAGTCATCGAGTAACTGTCCTTTAGTTTTGTATACTAAAGTTTCAATCTGGAAAAAAGGTTTTACTTACCTTTTATCCCAAAGTGAATCTATCATGACAATAGTTTTTTTTTCAATATCTATACGGTGATAACATATTACACAGTTCCAGTCATACCCACCCCTGTACCCTACGGGAGCTCACAGTCTAATGTACCTACCACACTCATATACACTAGGGTTATTTAGTAATGAAGGCAATTTACTTATCACTGTTTTTTTTTATTATGAAAGGCAATCAGAGCAAAACCACATGGAGAGTATGCATATTGTTCCTGGAGGGATTCAAGCCAAAGCTGCTGGGCAAGCGCGCTGACCACTTAGCCACCATGCTGCCATATACTTATAAGTAGTCTTGAGGTTGGGCTTGGTGCAAACTCAGTTCACCTGAGTTCGCACAAGCCCACTCAAAACTCTGACCACCACCCCGTTCTCCTGACCCAAACTGTGTCATTTAACTGCGGGGAGTGGAATGCACTTCCCGCAACTGATTGGGTCGGGCGGAGTGTGTGATGGGCAGAGTTTTGAGGGGGCTCGGACAAACTCAGATGAGCCAAGCTCAGCCTCATTAATACTTATAAGCTGTGATACAAGCAACCAACATTGGGATGGTGTGTAATAGCAGCGGAACAATACTTTGTAGGAGTTTTCGAGAACAAGAGTTTATGTTCCTCCAGATTGCTGACCAATCAGTTTCGGATATAGATACGCCCATATCCTCCTCCCAATCGGTTTGGTAGAGCATAATGGATTGTGTAAGATGTTCGGATAGGGAGGATTGGATTAAGGTTATCAGGCCGGGTGAGTGTGGATCACACCTACCTCTGTGTTCAAAAGGAGTAATAGAGTAGGGTGGAGAAGTTTCAATATTTTTTCCCAGTTCTTTGTGGTAAAATTAGGTACCTCGGCCTATATTCGGGTCGGATTATACTCGAGTATATACGGTAAACGACTCAATGATTGTATAAAGTTACGAATGTGGTGGTAGTGGAATAATTCAGTTTGTGGTTTTTGGAGTGAGTCTCTGAGCTGAGCAAAGGTACGAATCCCCTGGGGTGTGAGCATGGAGAATATATTCTGTAAACCAGCCGTCGTCCACTAGGAAAACCTTTTTGGGTGGACCATCCCAGGGTAAAAGAGAGGGCAATGAGAAAGCGACAGAAGAGGAAGATGTGGAGAAATTAGGCGACCTGTATATTTCACCGAGTCCCATATCTTTAAAGAGTGTCACATGGCAGGACCCAGGCGAGGGGGTCTGTAGGAGGGTGGGAGCCACAGTAAATTAGAAACTAGTGGGGAAGGCATCTACTATATCTATGGAGACCCATAAGGGTAATTATATTTTGGAGGATAAGAGTGCAAGAGGGGCTATTTGCGCTGCTCTATAATAATTCAGGAAATTAGGCACCCCCAATCCCCCTTGTAGTCTGGGTCTGAGGAGAACTCGATTATGTACTCTGTGTATTTACTTTATGTATTTTCATGTACATTTCATTTTGGTGCATTATTTTTAATTACATAGGATCTAAACTCATACAGACGTACATCCACTTATGCCTGTGTGAGCTGAGATCAGCAGTATGCACCGCTGCCACTGATTACACACTAATGTTTACATCTCCCCCTGAATGAGTCATTCATGTTGAGAGGACATAGACGCAGATTGACCTTGGCTTTCAGTCATTCTGAATAACTAACCGGTCAATGTGCACCACCACCACCGCATGAATGACACATTCAGGGGCGGTGGCAACAGTGCAGCTAGGGTTGCCACCTTTTCTTCAAGCGAAACCCGAACACTCTAGCAGCCCGTATCTTAATTTTGGTTGCTCCTGTCTGCCTGGCATCTTGTGTCCGGGTTTCTCCTGCCATGAAAACCGGACAGAGCATTCAAAACCCGAACTGTCCGGGTGAATCCTGGACAGGTGGCAACCCTAAGTGCAGCTGCAGAATGACCTCTGCCTTAAGTCATTTAGAATGACTGAAGGTCAAGGTCATTCTGCGCCTGTGATGCTGCCTACACATTGTCGCTGTTTACGTGACTGAATTCACTAGGAAGCAACCACGGCAGCACATTGGGTCCGTTTACGCTGTACTCTTGTAAACCTTAGCACAGTTGTTTACATGCATAAAGCATAAAATGCAGTCAAGATCGTACCATGCAAATTTCAGTCGGCAAACAACCATTTATTGCCAAATATTGCCACATTTGCACTTGAGTGGCAACATTTGGCAATGTGGACGTTTGCTGATTGCACTAAATATTGGCGTGTTGGTGAAATTTTTTGAAATTTGTATTGTATTTCATGGGGCCAACCGTGGTCATTACAAGCACCAACCTGAATTTTTGCACGGGAACTTATCTGCCAAGGAGTGCAGCAAGATATCTTTTCATTATGAGATCGTATCATGAACGCAAATTTTTTGGTTCACACAGCTAAATGCTATGGACCAAAATGAAGCAATGTGTATGAGCCCATAGCACACAACATTGCTACGTTCAGATCCGTATAAACAATGGATCTGAAGGCAGCATATTGCCCTCCCATGTGCATGAGGTTTTAGATTCCATTCACATCTGTGCCATGGGAGAGTGTGTTGCAATGTTAGGTGAGCTGCATAGCCAATATTTCCCAATGGCACCCCAGCACACATAGCCATTGCATGGGTGTTGTATAGCACCACATTGCATGGTCATCTATTACCCTGTGATGTGATCTAAAAAAGGTGCATGCACTTCTTCCAGTGCTATTCAGCTGCAGTAGGCACCCCAAATGAATGGGCTGCCCTGCTGCAACATACCACAACGCACCCCACAGCACCTCTGCAATGTTGCATCTCAAAGGTGTGAACAGGGGGCTTAATCAGAAGAATTGAAATTATTACATTTTAACATCAATTGTGGTTTTCTGCAGTACACACTTACATTTTACCGCCACAAAATGTTTAAGGCCTTGTTCACATGGGCTGCAGTCTTCTGAAAAGTGGTTTATGGTGGATCACTTTTCAGAGGGCAGTGGAGAAGCGGGTGTCCAGTTTTCAGAAGGGGATATTGCCGTCATCTGAATGCATTTTTTTTTTTTTTTTTATTCCAGTGAAGGTTTTCTATTGCAAATCTGTGTTGCAGCCGCATTCCACAGCACGGTCCTTTTTATTGCAACGGCTGTGTTTGACAAGCATTACCAGGGCTGGATTTACTCTCTCTGCTGCCCCAAGGCCAGGTTCTTCAATGCGCCCCCCTACCCCCCAACCCCTCCCTCCCCATGGAGAATGGCAGACCTGCAGGCTGCATACAAGTGATCTCGGCGACATCTCCAAGATCACTTGTACAAAACAAGTGGCGGGTTCCCCGCTGTACATTTAGCTCTGCTTGCCCAAAGCAGGACTAAATATAGAAAACAACTACCCGCCACCGGATGTCGGGAGATAGGAATTCCACACCCCTGCTGCCCCTCTACTCCCTGCTGCCCCGAGGCCGGGCCTTGGTTGGCCTTGTGGGAAATACCGGCCCTGAGTGAGTCTCACCACCTGTCAAATGCGATGTGCTGCATATATGCTGTGCCGGCAATGTATACAGCACAGTGCTAACACTGGAGCAGGTGGCAGGGGGGAGGGGGGTGGCAAGACCGCAATCACCACTTGTCAAATGTGATGTGCTGCATGTATGTTGCACCGGCAATGTGTACAGCACAGTGCTACCACTGGAGCAGGTGGCTGGCAAGACCATATTCACCACCTTTCAAATGCAATGTGCTGCATGTATGTTGTGTCGGCAATGTATACAGCACAGTGCCACCGTTGCAGCGGGTGGCTTGGGGGGGCAAGACCGCAGATCAACCGCTTTACTGTTGCTGTTTACATGACGGCCCTGAATTCACTAGGCAGTAGTCACGGCAGCGCATAGTGTCTCTTTGCCACCCATCTGAATGCTCTTTACTAAATGCAACGTTGGCCATATGATGATTCCGGATATGTAACTATGCAGAGTGTTGGAGTCCAGTGAATGTGTGAGCTCAGGCTCGGAGTATTCAGCAGCTCTAACAGCGAATGTTTCTAATACTCAATAACATTATATTTGGACAATAATCAATGTTTACTGGATTAAGAATTTCACAATGCGACATTTGTTACAATGTGACAATTATAAAGTTTGCAGTAAACTGATGCTTCCAGCTGTGACTTTACCACAATCTGTATATTTTTAGGGGCATTTTTATTAAACTCCAGAAGGACAAACTCTCCGCGATTCATTTTTCTCGTACTATAGGGGCACTGGTGTTACTAATCCGGAAAGGACAGTACAATGCACGGCTGTGAGAGGCTGCGGCAGCGTCCCCCTAGAGATAACTCCAGAATGTACAAGGCTGCCTCCGATTCACAGGCATACTGTACATACACTGCAATGTGCAACAGTTCCGAAGAGTAAACAATGGTAGTGTCATGGCCGAGCAATCAGAGACGCACACACTGACACTGACCTGCTATCAGCACACTAAGAGCAACCACGTACAGAGGCCATTATTCTACGCTAACAATAAAAATCAGGGTGATTTATGTATATTACACAAAAAGGACATCGCCCACAATGCTGCAATGCATATCCCACTGTAACTTCTCCTATGGTGGAATCACATGCTGCGTTTTTCATAGCAAAACAATCGTATTTACTAAACATAGTGTTCAAAAAAGTGTTACTGCATTGCACATACATAACATGGGGTTGTCAAATACTATAAATATGTATTCCATTTGTGAACATAATGACCTGTAATAGGATTTGTACTGCATAGGCTCATCTCCAGGTGTAGTTGGATCTGCTCATGAGCCGGGTGGCACACGTGATTATGAAGCCAGTACTGAGCAGTTGTGGAGCCCCAGGAAACCTTGTGCCTCTAGGCAGGCATCTACAATATACCTAGAGCTTGGTGGCCAGGGGAACCCCTATCACTGTGCTGTGACTTGTAGTTCTTCTGGCAACCAAAGCTGACCATACCAAACCATGGACTATGCTGTACATATAATCTATCTATCTATCTATCTATCTATCTATCTATCTATCTATACAAATACTATAACTTATACATGTACCATTGATACATATATACAGACAGACCCGGAGAGACTGAGCGGAGGGGCTACATGACTGGGGGGGAGGAATAGACCCGGGAGAAAGAGTTCAAATAAAATGGGAATAGCTGCTCTTACCTGATTAGATGTGGGGGTCTGATGTCCGGGAGGAGGCACATGGGAAGGAGCTGATGTGACGGCAGCTTGGCGGGTTAGGGGGTCTTTCGGGGGTCTACAAAATCGGAGTTGATTACAGAAATGGGGAGGCCATCAGCGGGTATGGGTGCTTCTCCCTGTTGGGGCCCGGATATGTAGGGGGCGGGGCCTGGCCCCTTGGGAACCTGGAAGTAGTAAGTGTTCTCGAGCTGGTTGTGATGCGGCTGGGGACATAGGTGGAGTCTTAGGAGAGGCCTTTTTGGGCTGTTGGGCACCCAAAGATCCCTTCTCAGGTCAACAATCGTTTAGAGTAATATAAAAGTTGACAACTTTTTCAATAATCGATTATAATCGATTATGTCGATTAGTTGTTGCAGCCCTAGTTGTTTGGTTAATAAAAGGGCTGCTGTGGCCGTTAAATTCCATGTCGTGCAGTCCGTGTGTTTATTGGGGTTTTGACGGAGGGACAAAAATTGACGAATCCATCTGTATGCTGTACACATATTCTCTCTCTCTCCTATTGAGAGAGAGGTACACACATATGCAGGCACAAATACTATAACTACACGTACAATGTATCAATCTATACTGACTTATAGTGGAATATATACAGACGTGTCAATAAGTAAGACTTAGGCTTTGGCTTTGTGTAGTTGGCTCTGATCATGTACCAAGTAGCACACAAGACCATAATGCCGACACTGAGTAGCCGCGGAGCCCGGGACAGCTCTGCATCCCATAGGCAGGCACCTTAAGCTTGGTGGCCAGGGGAACCGCTATCACTGTGCTGTGTCTTGTAGTTCTTCTGGTAACCAGCTATGACCGTACCAAACCATGGACTAACCTACATATACTATATCTACATATAATCTATCTATCTATCTATCTATCTATCTATCTATCTATCTATCTATCTTGCACTCTATCTCCTTTCTCTCTCTTCTATCTATCTACGCATATACAGTCGCAAATACTATAACTACATGTATCATTTATAAATATAAACTGACTTATAGTAGGGTATATACAGGCATGTAAGTAAATTATACTGAGGCACCTAGAACTTGGTTGCCAATCACTGTGCTGGGACTTGTAGTTCTTTGGGTAACCAGAGCTGATCATACCAAACCATGGGCTGTGCTGTACATATATATCTATTAGGGATGCACCGATACCAGTTTTTCTGTATCGAATACGAGTACCAATGCTTTGCTTTCGGTACCCGCCAATAGAGAGTACCGATACCGGTGCTTCCGCTGGCATGGAGCAGGCTTCATATTGTTTGGCCGGCTTGATTGTGACTGGCCGGGAAACCAGCTTCCCAGCCAATCAGCATGGAGCCTGCTTTCCGGCCAATTAGGAAGCCGGGCGGCGAGTAATGACCAGCCTCCCGGCTTCCTGAATGGCTGCGAAGCCAGCTCCATGCTGATTGTTTGGAAAGCCGTCTTCCCGGCCAATCAGCATCAAGCCGGCCAAACAGCTGGCTCCTTGCTGATTGGCCGGGTCATTACTCGTCTGCCAGCTTCCTGATTGCACGTTAAGCTGTCTCCATGTTCATGTCCATGTTCCCCTATGGCATTTCCAGTCTGAGTAAATCTTCCTTTGACCCGAAGTTCCGGTATCGGCAAAGGTATCGGAGCCTTTGGGGGCGAGTACGAGTACTCTCCCACATAGTTGGTTTCAGCACTGATACCGATACTAGTATCAGTATCGTGGATCCCTAATATCTATAACTATGAATGTATATATGCAAGGATCTGTCCATCTATAATAGAATATATATACATATATACATGACATATACTGCATAGGCTCACCAGGGGTAGTTGGCCAAGTGACACACAGGATTATGAAGCCAGCACTGAGCAGTTGTGAAGCCCCAGGAAACCTTGTGCCCCTAGGCAGGCGTCTACAACATACCTAGAGCTTGGTGGCCAGGGGAACCATTATCACTGTGCTGTGACCTGTAGTTCTTTGGGTAACCAGAGCTGACCATACCAAACCATGGTCTAAGCTATACATATACTCTATCTATCTATCTATCTATCTATCTATCTATCTATTTACACATATGCAGGCAATAATACATATAAAATTGATAAATAAATACTGACTTATAGTAGCCAATACACAGGCATGTAACTAATGATATACAGGCACCTTGAGCATGGTGGCCAGGGGAACCCCTATCACTGGGCAGTGAGTTGTAGTTATTTGGGTAACCAGAGCTGGCCATACCAAACCATGGGCTACGCTGTACATATACTATATATGTACTATATATGTACTATGTACTATACTATATCATTCATCTATTATCTATCTGTCTGTCTGTCTTTCTTTCTATCTCTCAAACTACACATATGCAGACACAAATACTATAACTACATGTATCATTGATAAATATATACTGACATATAGTAGGAAACATACAGGCATGTAAATAAAAGATACTCCGGGACCGCATAGGCTTAGTGTAGTCGGCTCCGCTCATGCACCAAGCGGCACA